CAAAGGAAAAAAAAAAAAAAAAATTCACACAGCCTCTGTTGCCCGTCAGCTTCGAAACCAGGCGTGAATTTGCCGCCCCAGAGTTAAGGCAACGGACACAACTCTACCAAGCACTGGCGTTGCCGCCTGTGCAGGTGCTTTCCGTGGGGTGTTTCTTTGAAGAGCTATAGCAAGAGGAGCAACCTGGTGACCTGTGCCGCTGCGTTCCCCGCTCCCTGGTCCAACCATCCAGCGCCTTGAGGTACTTGAGTGAAAAAATCAGTTAGCTAGGGGACCGGTATCAAATACCCCTCTACTGAGATAACATCTTCATATTTAAATGGACTGTGTCTCAGCTGGACAGATTTCAACAAAGGTCTTACCCGTCAGATCCCTGGATTGCTTGAGTGTTTTGAGTTTACAGCTGCAGGAGCAGTCTTCTAGCCCCACAAAATGCAATCATCTTGTCTCATAAACGCCCCTACTCCAGCACAATGCCTTGGCTTAGGAGATACAGGAGCAGACAGAGGAATCAAAGTTTCCTCATGAGGTGGGAAAGGAAGGAGAGCAGAGCTCTGCTGCAGCGAGGACCAAGGGGTGAACCGTTCCCTGTTCGCACGTGTGCAAATCGCCCCGTAGCGGGGTAAGTTGTGAGTCCCTGTGTACGTTACCTGGGAATCGTTTCACCCCAATGGCCCAGCTCTCCACCTCCTGTCATGCAGACCCATTCCTTTAGCCACATCGTTTCATTCTTGGCATCAGGCAAGAGGGCTGAAGTCTCACCCAAAAATGTTTACGTTAATTAATGTGCCAAGTCTGAACGTACACCAAAAAGTCCTCTCGCTAACTTCATGCATAGACCTTAGGGTGATACAGTGTTGGGATGAGTGACATGGAGCTGCTGATGACTGCAAGGAGGAGCAGCAATGAACTTGTTTTGTCAGCTTAATTTAGGGAAAGTCTTTAATAAGGGTGATCAGCACGTGGGGCTAGCATGGCATGGCCATCTTAAATTGCAGAAGCTGGCCAGCTGTTTTAGAGCTGGCCCAGAAGCATGGGAGACAGGACAGATTCCAATGTAGGCTCGTGTTCTTCCTCATTTGGGCCCCGTGGGCAGCCTGCCTCACAGCAGCAGGGTCCACGGACAGGCAGGAGAGGTTGTATGGGAATTGTGGCCTAGTTGCCACTTAGAAGAAACCATGTAGGGGTCAGTAGCTGGTTGCTTTGGTTTGGGCAAGTTGTATGTATAGGGCTGGAGGGGATTGCTCTGTTGTGAAGCAGTGATTTCTGTGACTTTTTTTGTGCATGGAGTGGATTGCTGATGTGCTCAAAAGAATGCAGAAACAAATTGCTGACCCTGGGGAAGCAGGCTTCCCTGACTTCTCCATGGCTGTAGATGGTGTGTTTGTGGCCATTGCTACCTCCATTTGATTCCCAGAATATATCAGTGGAGCCAAAGGAAAATAGAAGTGTATTCTTACTCCCCTTGTTCCCCTGTTTTTCAGGCAGTTCTGTATTCCTAGCAGTCCAGTGGTCTTTTTTTGTTATTTTTTTTAAATTTGCAAATGTGACTATGGAACAATCATACTGCAAGTTGCGTGCGTGTGTCTACATATATCTATAAAATTGTTGCTTCAGCACCCAGAAGCTACCTGCACATTGCGCTAAGAGCTGCACCTCCATGGAAAGAAACCCAGTCCCTGCCTCTGAGAGATCTGTGTTTAAAAAAAACCAGCTAAGCAAGTGCAAAGGAAGAAATTCTTTGGCTAGAGGAAAGCAGCAGAGTGTTAATTACACGGTGGAGTGCCCAGGCCTACCAAAGGTCTGTTGCTTGCTATCTAGGGTTAAAGCTTTCACCTGGCCCAGGGAAGCAGGTCTGTGGGAAGGGGAGCCTTGGGCCAGACTGTGTTGTCTCCTGACTCTGGCCACCGGCGTAAGCAGGTGGCTCCTCTGGGGACTGTCAGGGTAATACGGAGCATTACCTTGTTCCTGAAGCAGGCCGGCATGAAAGCAGAAATGGCTGAGGGAGCAGGCAGCTCTAGGAGCTGAGCCAGCCTTGCTGCTGTGCCTTTCTCCTATGCCCTTATCCTTCATAGCAGTACTAGGAAGTTCTTTCCTGTTCTTACCTCCTGCTTCACCACCTTGTAGGAGCTTCGTGCTTTGGGGGTGCCTGCTCCTTTTTCCAAGCTGAGTAAATTTATCAAAAACCATGAGCAGGAAAGAGTCAAATACATACGCATGTAAGCACGCGTATTTGCTGTCCGTGTGTGTGTTGCCCAAGCCTGGATGCTGTAGGGACGTAAGGCAATAAAGATGTTGTATGGGTTTCTTCTCACAACAGAGAAGAAATAACTTTTTAGAAGTAGTGTTTTTGAGGGGACAAGCTGGTTTAGTCAATTTTTTTCTTCTCCCTTTTCTGTTAAAACAGAACGATAAATATCCAGAATAAAGAAAAACTAGGTTAAAATCTGTTCACAAAAATATACAGTATTTAAACAAGTCTTCTGCTCAACATCTCCTCCCCAGCCCTCAAACCCCACCTCAATTCCGAAAGCTGCTTAAAAATAAGCTGTGCTACAGCTAAGTCAAGTTTTGCCTGGCTGTGAAGCCTGCTCTGTTCCTCTCCACAGAACTGGAGCCTTCGTCGGAGATGAGTGGGTCAAAATTGCTTAACGTTCTCTCTGTAAAAACATAATTATTTCAGAAAACTGTTGTATTCTGCTGACAGTGTGGTGTGAACGCTGCTTGAAATAACCCATGCAATTACCTTGTAACAGAGAAATCTTGACGCAGGCATTTACAGCTTTTGCCCAATAGGCGGATACACCGGCCGGTGTTTCTGTGAAGTCCAGAGAAGGGCATGATAGTTGTTAGGAGAAACTTCAACTGATGTGTTCTTAAATGTTCCACTAAGTAACACAGCTTTTACTTTTTGCTAGGAAGTGCTGAGGGGCTCAGGAGGGGTCCTGCTCCCTGGCTGCTGGCTGCCTTTCGCCCAAGGCTTCCGAGAACAAGAAACTGCAGCAAGACATCTCAAAGCTGCTTTACCGCTTGAAGGTAA